GACTTCCTGCGCACATACCTGGACGACCAGCGCTGGCCCACGACCAGCAAGCTCGACCCCGACATCTTTGCATGGGCTCGCACCACGCCGAAGCACTTCACCAACTCCGTCAACAGGGCCGTCACAAACTACATCCGCGCCTCTAAAGACCGCGCCCACGCCGACAAGCTGACCAAGGTGCTAAGACCCGACGGCCTCATCGGGGCGGGCACCACGCCATCACGTGACAACGGCGACAGCAACTTCATTTGCTACGAGTGCGGAATAGTAACTAAGACCAAGCAGGGCATGGCAATACATATCGGGCGGGAACACCGACGACTTGATCATCCGCGAAACTGGGCATCGGGTACATCGTGCAGAATATGCCGCCAGAACTTCCACTCCTTTGCCAAGCTAGTAAAGCATCTAACCACGGTCGCCCGATGCCGACGGTCATGGTACATGTGGTATTTACAAGGACCTGCCCTCACTGAGAAGGACGTGGCCACCAATCAGGAGATCTACGCGGCCAGCATAGCCGACAACAAACGCAGAGGCCGCCCCGAACTATATCATCCCATCCCTGCCCACGCATCCGACGTCACCCCCCTACCCTCCCTTGACTTATCACCTTCACCACCGCCCTTTTTCCCGACTGTAGCAGAGCTCACACCACCACCACCAGCCCACTACCCTCGGACACTGACCAGAAACAGATCCCTGCTTTACCTCACCAACACCGATAGACATCCGAACGATCTGCTCGACATCACGGACCAACGACTATGCTACAATGGAATGGTGATGGAACTGGCTACTATGACATTCGACGATCTCTACTCCGACGAACACCCATCCCAGTACGACGCCCTTGAATTGATACAACAGCACATTCGACAGGGTGACTTCGCAGGAGTGACGATCAACCTCTCACCCAGCACTTGGACAGACCAAGGTGATGGCGACATCCACGACAGAACGGCAGCATCCTCCAGAACAACCTCGGACCCATGGGGAAGAGTTAACCTTGGAGGCAGGGCAGCAGAACGTCGACTGATCGCGAACCACCACGCCCGCCTCGCCATCCACATCTTCCATACCGCCCACATTGCAGAAGTACCAGTACTACTAGCGCAATCCTCAGCCCCAGAAGGTCCGTCGCTGATGTGGACGACCGAGCAGATAAACTACGTATACTACGATACGGAGAGAATCGCCACAGGAAGACCGACCAGGATTGACTCCACCAGCAACCTCTACGCCATTTACGACGGCCACTCCCACGAGCACAGCAACCCACTCGACGACTTCGTCGACTCCGTCTTGGGCAGCATGCTCCCTGGAGGTCGGACTGCAGCCAGCAGATCCGACGACCTGAGCTGGCCGTAACAGGGCCCAAGAGGATCGAGACGGGCGCCTACCACGGCAAGACGACCGTGGGGCTCAAGGCGGCCGCCTACATCATCACGGACGCCCCCCTCAAGGGAGAGGGGGGGGGACGACACGGTCCAGGCGTGACCTGGGCCGCCACCCGCGTGAAGGCCTCATGGGGGTGGACTCCCTTCCTCCCCAAGGCCTTTAATGAGCCCCCTCCCCCCACTCCGCTTTGCCACCCCCATGTGGCCTCTCCCTTTTCCCCCCCTCCGCCCCGAAACTTCTGGGCCCTTTTTTCTCCCCCTGCGAGGCCCAAGCGGCTTCTCCTGCGAGGCCTAGGCGGCTTCTACTCCTTGCCCTCCTGGCGGGGGCCCGTGTCGGGGGGGTGGCCCCCTCCGCGCGCCTCGGGCGCGCGCGCGCGGCCGCGGCCGCGCGAACAGCTTCGTCCAACGGGACATCGAGCTGCGAGCGAAGCGAAGCGAAGGAGGAGGAGGAGGAGGAGGAGGAGGAGGAGGAGGAGGGAGGAGGAGGAGGAGGAGGAGGAGGAGGCGTCCTGCGCCGGCGCTAGCTCCAGCTTCTCTCGCGCATCCCTCGCGGCTGATGGGGAAGGGCCCGTGGAGCTGTCCTCTCTCGGCGTGGGGTCGCCCCGCGTCGGGGTTGCCAACTCCCGCAGCGCCCTCCCTGCCGAAGGCCGCCTCACGCTGCAGATTCAAATCCTGACATCCGCGTCCACGATGCGCGCCCTGCACTGACCCCCGCACCACTGGATGGGTCAGATGCTGCCGCGGCCTCGCCATCCCCTGTTGCGGGACAGCCCCCGGCGGGCGATCGCGGGCCAGCCATCTGGCTCGTCGCCGAATCCCCCCTCCCCGAGTCGACGATTCCCCTGGAGGACCGCCTTCCATGTCTATCGGGACTGGGGCTGTGCCGACCCCGCGTTGGAGAACCCTCACGGCCTGCTCCGGTTGCCGTACCCGCTGCAGGCAGCGCTCATGGGGCTCTCTCCGACCCTTCCCCCCACCTTCCTTTCCATGCCTCTCTCTCTCTCTCTCCATTACCCCGCTCTTCGGGACGGGACGTCGCGCCCTGGCGCGGCGGGCGGCGCCGCTATCGAAGGAGGGTGTGAGGAGACGCGCATGCGGCCTGCGGCCACCGGGATCTTCGGTGGAACTCCCTATGTGGACACGAAATGCTGTACTGACTGTGAGGGATGCGTGCGAACACTGCTACTGGGGCCTTCGGTGGAGCTCCCTATGGGGTCACGAAGCGCTGTACAAGGTGGTGGAGACGCATGCAAACACCGCCACTGGGGCCTTCGATGGAGCTCTCCATGGGGCCACGAAACGCTGCACTGAGTGGCGCAGACGCATGTGAGCACCACCACTGAGGCCTTCGGTGAAGCTCCCTATGGGGCAACGAAGCGCTGTGTTGGGTGCGGGAGACGCAGGCGAGCACCAACTCTGAGGCCTTCGGTGGAGTTCACTATGGGGCCACGAAGTGCTGTACTGGGTAGGGGAGACGCATGCGAACAACGCCACTGAGCCTTCGGTGGAGCTCACTGTGGGGCCACGAACTGGTGTATTGTGTTGGGGAGACGCATGCGAAGACCGCCGCTGGGGCCTTTAGTAGACCTCCCTGTGGCACAGAAGCGCTGTACTGGGCAGGGGGGACGTATTGGAACACCGCCACTGAAGCCTTCGGTGGAGCTCCCTATGGGGCCGCGAAGTGCTGTACTGGGTTGGGGAGACGCATGCGAACACCGCCACTGAGGCCTTCGATAGAGCTCTCTATGGGCCAACGGAACGCTGCACTGGGTGGGGGAGACGCATGCGAACACCGCCACTGGGTCCTTCGGTTGAGCTCCGTATGGAGCAACGAAGCGCTGTATTTGGTATGGGAGACACATGCGAACACCGCCACCAGGGCCTTCGGTGGAGCTCCTATAGGACAACGCAACGCTGTACTGGATGGGGAGCTGTACGGTGATGGTGGTGATGATGATGATGGTGGTGGTGGTGGCGATGATGATGATAATGATGATGATGATGGTGATGATGATAATGATGCTGGTGATGCTTATGATGCTGATGATGATGCTACTGATGATGATGATGATGATGATGACGACGATTCTGATGATGGTGATAATAATAATGATGATCATTTCGATGATGATGATGATGATGATGATGATGCTGATGATGCAGATGATTATGATGATGATAGTGATGACGATGCTGCTGCTGCTGATTACGATAATGACGATGATGATGCTGATGATGGGATGAGGAAGCGGGCGGGAGAACGCGGGGACCCGACACCACGCGCGCCCACCAGCCGAAGCCGAGGCGCACTCGTCCAACACAGAAGAGCGACCCCTCATGCAGTGCGCGGACAGTCCATGGACTGACCTTACAAGCAACAGGAGGGTGAGGACAAAGATGAGGAGCATGAGAGGCACGCGTGTGATCTTTCCGTACCTCCCGTGGCTCGTCTGGACTGCCCTGCGATTGCCCGTGCTTGGGCCCGTCGGGCGGGCACTCTCTGGGAGGACGCCTTAGGCGTGGCCAGGAGGGCGCGCACGCTCAGGGGCCCGAGATGCGCCTGGCCGAGGTCGATGCTGGTGTAAAACCAGACCTCAGGCGCATGATTTTTCAACCCGAGGGCCTCAGCGTTCTCGACCCCTTCTGGGGGCACAATCACAAATTTTCAATCCTGAACCTGATGCTCTGACCGTTCGGTGGCCCAAAAGCTCTGAAACGAACTCTGGAGGCCGACGAGGCAACAACTCTCTGGCGCGAGTTAGTCGCGTCGCCTGGAGTTCCGGGTCTACCTCCTCCTCTCTCTCCCGCCCTCTCTGACAAAGCGCTGCTGGCTCTTGCAAGGCGGGCACCTTCAAATCGCTCCAGCTGCAACCGGGGACACACAACCCGGATCAACACAAACTGGGTCGGTGAGGGTCCTGTCGCGAAGCTCGGTTGCCGCTGGCTTCCAGCCCCGGGTCAGCGGAAAGAAAGAGGGAATCGGTCCCATGTGGCTCCTAAACCCGGGCCAGCCACAATGGATTGGCTGAGCCCCGTTAGCGCTGAGACGTGAGCCGCGACGCCTCTGAGAGTCAGCGTCGTCGTCGTGGTCGTCGTGGTCGCGTTGTCTTTGCTGTTGCCGTGGTCGTGGACGTGGTCGCGGCTGTGCTCGTGGACGGGCTGGCGGTCGTTGCCGTGGCCATCGTCGTGGGCTGTGGCCGTAGTTGACGTCGTCGGTTTCGCCTTCTTGGCGCAAGCGACTGTGTTAGGTAACCAGAGCCCCTCGGGTCAGGGAACAATCACGATGAATTATTGTTGTATTTTCTGCCTATGGGTGCCCTCGCCAGGCTCAGGATGAACACCTGGTCCTGGGGAATGGGTTGAGACCTCCGCGGGTCCACGTCGTGACAAAATCATGACTTTTGGGGTCTGGGAAAAGAGCGAGGCCCTTCCTGAAGCCAGAACGTCCGGGTGCACGAGGATCGCTGAAGGGACAGTCGTAAGGACCCAGGGAACAGCGAGCCCCTCCCGAAGCCGAACTGTGCAGGAGGGCGTGAAGAATGCGACGACGACGACGACGACGACGACGACGACGAGGCACCCAGCCGGACCGCCAGGCGCTCCTCGTCGCTGAAGATGTACCCGACGACGCAGTCGTGGCAGAGCCACCAGCCTTCCCACCTTGTCAAGGCGGGCGTGTCTCCTCCTCCTCCTCCTCCTCCTCCTCCTCCTCCTCCTCCTCTCTGCTGCTCCAGGCGGGCGTGTCTTATACTCCTCCTCCTCCTCCTCCTCCTCCTGCTGCTCCTCCTCCTCCTGCTGCTCCTCCTCCTCCTCCTGCTCCTCCTCCGCCTCTCCACATGTGTCCTCCCTCCAGGTCGCTCTCCCCCTGCTCCGTCGCTCCCGCCCGGCCTCCTCCTCCTCCCTCCTCGTTGCGTGGGAAGCGGTTCGGGTGCCACCCCAATAAGCATGCAGGAGGCGCGGGTGGCCCTGGCGCAGGAAGGGGCGTCGGGCGGGCACCGCCGAAAAGGCGGACGGGTCCATCAGGGCACAGCGAGGAACAGCTCCTCGGGAGCCACGTCCGAGCGCTGGCGCGCTCGCGGGCCCGGGCTCCGAGGGCCCGGGCCACCTCGAGGCGAAAAGCCCGAAGAGGACCAGCCCTGTTACCAAATCGATGCCTGGGGCACCCTCCAACGACTAGAAGAACATTGGCACGCAGAACTGCGCCCACCCGAACCCCGACTGCTACCGTTTGGGCGCCCGAAGCGAATACGGAAAAACTGGGTACGACGCCCAGCAGCGAATGTTGTCCCAAACCGACATCGGCCGCTGTTTGGCAGGCGACCTTCTTTCTAGAACTGCCCACGTTCGCGGCGACACCGACAGCGACTCCAACTCAACATGGACAAGAACTGCTGCCCGTCTTCGCCACCAATCTGTCCGTACCAACTTCGATGGTACCGATACCCACATCCTCTGGTACTTCGCAGTTGGGGCACCGCATGTCTCATCTGGGCCTTTGAAAACCCTGCAGGACCTGCTTGAAAGCAAGAACATCCCGTAAACGGATCTGCCCGTTCTCCGACCTCGTACTGCATCTACCGCAACGGCCGCGTTGTCTGTAGACGTATCCACCCCGAATGTGTCTACATGTACGCGGCGGCACCCAACATGTCGACAGACGCTTGTGGCAGGAGCGCGAGAACGGTACACGGCACATTCCCCAGATATCTGCCTCCTGGCAGCAGGTCGGCTGTGCCCTCCAGCTGCGGCCTCGCACCCCCCCCGATCTCGGCACTCTGCGGCGGGGCCGCCACCTCCCTGCGGCGCACTGCTTCCGCACATCGGGGCTCCCGAAGAGTTCGTTTTTCAGCATGCCTGTCCGATCGGAGCGGTCTCAGTTTTCAAGGACTGCGCTCCCGCCGCGGCGGTGGCTGCATTTCAGGATCAGCGCCTCGCTACGACTGCTCAAGACAACACTCTTGCCCAAACGCGGGCAACATGTATAGATTTGATCCTTTGGTCGGCACTGCCGCCTCTTCCATGCCCCTCCTCCGCCTGCCCCCGATCCCCCTGCTCCTCCCGCTCATCCTGCTGCTGCTACTGCTCCTCCGTATTCCTCTTCCTCTTCCGCCTGCTCATACTCCTGCTCATCCGCAACCTCCTCCTCCTCCTCCTTCAACTTGACAAGCAACACTTTCTGATGGCGCATTGCATTACGGGGTCATTGGGGGACCACCGCCCTCCTGGACATCGCAATCCACGGATCGTTTTTTCAGCGAGGTGGGGGAGGCCGGCGACGCAATAAACCTGCTGAGACCTTCCCATCCTCTTCCGCCCTTCACTCCTTTTCGGGGCCGTACATCTCAACCCAATCCCACGGGTAACTGGTCGTCGCTGGAGGCATGTTGCAAGTATGGGGACTCGGGGAACATCCTGGATGACGAAGGTAAGGAGAAGAAGGAGAAAAGACAGAGAGAGAGAGAGAGAGCGAGGGAGAGGGAAAAAGGATAACGACCTGTGTATACACACAGGTACTAGAACCACGCGCGCTTCGCGCGCGCTTTGGTTCTAACGCAGTCCAAGTGAACTTACCCGACTGGGTGAGGATGGACATCATCCCGCAAAGATCACCATCTGGGAGAACACTGCTTGATGGACGCTTCAGGAGTGTCGTTGGAAGCCAGTCCTAAGATATCCTCCTGCCCTGCGCAGATGCACCGAGCGGCTGCCAGAAGGTAACCTTTGGGAGGCTTTTGAAACCTCGTGGCCCGTGGGCCCTCTTTCACGGTGTTGAAGATCTCCTGGGCGTCTGGAGGGCCCTACGGTCTATCTCGGGGGTGTTTGGGAGGTCTCCTGGCAGCCCCGGGGGCCAATGGTATGGGACAACTCAAACCATGTAAAGGCTGCCAAGTTCAGTCGAAGTCGTAGCGGGCGCGGCCTGAAGGATACCTCGGGCCGTACTGTGCCTTGATGTGAAGCGTTCAGATGTTGCATGACATACGGTACCCGACAGATGACGCGGGGCTGTTCCCCCCGGCTGTTTTCTCGAAAGCTCTCACGAAGGCTGTAGAAGGCGCGCAAGGCAGCCACGTGGGGGGACCTAGGGCAGCCTATGGGGGGACGCCCGAGAACTCCTAACAGCCTGGGGTACTGGAAGTCTCTTTGGATACCGTTGGGGGAC